CTGGACATATCCCTTCATTTTCTTGCTGCTGGACAAAATCCCTACAAACTAAACCTTCTGTACAAATCATAAAACTGAGGCACTTCAGACAGAACAACTCCGGCACCGATAAAAGACTTCATTCATCAAAAATGATTTTTATAACCTCACTGTTGTGTCATTCAAAGATGTTTTCAGAGCATATAACAAACAACAGCAGCATTTTTGTTAAACAACCTTATCATCATTTCATATCATCTTTATCCACTTTTTCATACTCTGTGACTTGTGAGTACAAACAAAGCTGTGGCTTTTTAAAGCTCATGTATTTTTCTCCACAACAATGTGCTGTTGTTGTAACACGTTTCCCCTCGGCCCACAGAGTGCTGTGCTAATGTTTCGCTCGACTGTTAGCTCAAAGTGATACGAGGGTGTCATCCTTGTGAATACACAATGATTTTCCATTCGATTGGCTGCGCTGTGGGTTATGAATTTTTTCATAAATCCTTACTCTGTGTGCACAGAAAACAGCAGAAGACAGAAAACATGAGCCTCTTGCATGGTTGACGATTTCAAGACATCGCTGGTGAGGAGACAATAGAGCAACTGGCGGATGAGGAAGATGATGACATTGTTTGAACGGTTTGTTTCCCTTGAAGCTCTGCAAGCTTGTTTTTGCAAAACTGAATTGTTTGGGCGTTTAAAGTTCAAAGCTATGTAAGCTGCTATGTAACACTGTAAAGAAATTTAAAAAAGAACCGCAGGAGGATGTGGAGAATAATAGCTGCTTCCTCCTTGTATTGCTGTGTGCTAGGTCAGTATATCTGTGTCCTTTTCTGTCAGTGAATTGCATTTCCTGATATTATGTCCTCTGATAGAACTTTCAGGTGCTGCGGTCTGAGTCAACATGGCACTAATTTGGAAAACTCCCTCATGCGCTACTCAGTAATAGTGAAGTCACTTTACTAGATCCATGAATACGATATAGTAATAACATTGATTGCAGAGTTGTGGCGTGACATGGTTGGAAAAAAGGAGAGAAAGAAAAAGTCTTTTTTATCATGATGCTTTAAAGAAAATCTGAAAATTTTCAATCAAAATGCACCAGATATTCATCCTTCAACTCTACATTAAAATAAATTCTAAAACTATTCCTCTGTGTGCTAATATTAGTTTAAATCTATCAAAACATTTGTCCAATAGTGCCTCCACAGTGTAGTTCTCCACATTCCCTGGAGACACAAATCCCCTTCCGGGTGAGATAAAATGGCCTAGTTGCGTCCTCCCTACTTACATTAATAACTGTTCATTTTTATAGATAGTTCCCCTTTTTCAGAGGTACAAAATGAATTGGTCGATTTATTGACAAGCAGTATTTGGTAGGACTGGGCGATATATATCGAGTTTTTAAATATATTAATATATTTTTTTGCGAGGTATGAGATGTGACAATATCGTTTATATTGATTCAGTATATGTTACATTATAATTATACTTGCGGAGCCGCAAGTTTGCCTCTGTTTTGTCCACTTTTGTCTCTACGCAACGTTACTCTGCCTCACTTCTCTCCTTCACTGAACACAACTCTCCCTCCCCCATCGCTTGCAGGCAACGATAAGATGGACACGGCAGCTATCCGCTGCCGGCGGAGCTCACGGGCGCGTCACTGCAACTCCCCCTGGCTTCTGCTCCGCGGCTGCTGAGTGACCCCTCATCTGGGACTCTCCTCAGCTCTTTCTGGGGTAGTGGCACAGCTGCCCCTCTGTTGGTCTGGATGTCTGGAGTTTTGATCTCCTCCATACCTGCTTCATGCCCTGGAGGACGGAGCTGTGGCCCCCCCACACCCTCTAGCAGATCATTACATGAAGGAACCTTTTAAAAATCAAGCGCGTCCATGCTCACAGGTGTACACACGGGTGCTCACACACACAAACTACACCCTTTTTGGCTCCTACCTCAAAGCACACTGTATGCTGTCGATCTTACGTGCTGCACAATAATGTTTAATATTTAGTACTTACTGTTATATTCCCATATATCATCGTGATGTTGTTTATTATGTTGCTCTTTTTTTCCTCTTCTGCTTGTTTTCTCTTTTTTCTTTCTCAACAGGTGATCCAGGTGATTGATATATGGATTTTTTGTCTGCTTATTTTGTTGGTTTTTGTTTTTTGCCCTTTATCCCCGTCCCTCTTCCCCGCTGTTTTTCTTTCCCTCTTTCTTTTCCCCAGTCAAGTCTGTCCCATGTTTAGCAAGTGAAAATAAAATAAAATAAACAATAAAAGGTGAATCAAATAGACCATTAACCCTTGTGTGATGTTCGTATTTTTGTTACTCAGCCAGTGTTCATGGGTCTGGTGGACCCGCTAGAGTTTTGGCTTTCCAAATTAACACTATCAAACAATTTTATGTTAAATTACTCAACAGATGTTTACTTCATCCCAATTACAAGACATATGAACAGCAAACATGGTTAATTTTTTCCCTTTACCTTTGTTAGATCACATTTATGAATTAATGTGCTTCTCGTTTTTCTTTTATATAAAATGTTATAAATAAATCAGTTATAATCAAGTGGAGTGAGTGGAAAGACACAACACATTTACACGTGAAAAAATAATTAATTGTTTAATTTTTCTTTTGAAAAAAACTGAACACGGGTCTCACAGACCCGAACACCATACAAGGGTTAAGGCAAGGCTGGGATGGTCCATTTGGTAAAGTAAATCCGTTGGGCATCTTTCTTTGCCTTTAGACAATAATTCTGATGGCAAAAGAGCCAAACGGGACAGGCAAAAAAAAAAAAACTATCAAAGAGGATCTGGTCGGTAAAAAGAAAACATTTGGAGATTACTATTTTAGTGCTGGTAGCGTTAATCTAATTAAAATGACGTTAACGCCATAACGACGTTAACGCCATAACTACATTAACGCGGCAAATCTCTGTTAACGAGTTACCGCAGATCGCCCCGTTCGTGGGGCTGGACGGCTTCAACGCGTTAATGAGCTAACCACGCTAACGCGTTAGCGCCATGCAGCTTCACTTACGGGGGCTGCACGACCTAAAATCCTTTCAGTTTCTCAAAAATCAAAAGCGCGCCTTTTGTATGAATTGTGGTTGTGCTTACTCACCACGAACCGATTTTATGTGGTACACGGCGCTCAACAATCTGTCAAAAAAAGTTTTAGTACGAGTTTTGTAAGCTACAAAGCTGCACCGCTTGATGGATTGTCGGAGCGTTACAGCTACGGTAGTCAGAAGCCTTGCTGAGTGATACGTACTGTGCTTCAACGTAATATTACTGTACTGTGTAATATTATAAGGACCACAAATGGCACCTGTTAAGAGACGTGGTTACGAAGCGGATTTCAAACTTAAGGCTGTCAGTCACGCAGTAGAACTTGGGAACAGAGCAGCTGCGAAATCTGTCTTTGTTATTATGCTCAGCGTCTTTTTAGTTTACATTTTGACTGCACGATTCAGCCAAAGAATATCGAGATATGAATTTTGGGTGATATCGCCCAGTCCTAGTATTTGGTAACTTATCACTGGAACTCTCCATAGAAGGTCCAAAAAGATGTAAACACAAGTGAAGAAGACTGAGAAACCAAAATAAATGTATTAGAGTGAGAAATCTTTTGTACCACATCGTTGATTTGGCCTTAAAAAGGAGTGAATGTGTCAACCAGCTCAGCAACACCAAAAGACCTGAAAGACCACGTGATCGAACACTTCAGTCTCTGATTAAGAAAATCCCTTCACAACGTCTAGCCAAGGCAGGAACACTCTCAAAGAGAAAGGCGTATCATTAGGAAAGCCTACAATCAATGGAACCAGTGAAACAGAGTCAATAGTGTTTATTGATGACGTGACTGCTGAAGGAAGAAGCAGGATGAATTATTTAGAGGCAAGAGTTTCTTTTTTTAGATTCAGCCAAATATGATGAGGTGTTGCTTTACAGTGGAAATGGATAATGACATAGAAGTAAACTGCCAAAGATGCCCAAGTGTCAGGGACTGTCTGTGACCCAGATTTTGAGTTTATTTTTGTATTTGTGATTGAAAGGATGTTAAGTTCTAGTATTATTATCAGTTTGCCTTGAGTTTTAAGTCTAGTTTAGGTTCATCTATGTCTCCTTAGTTATGAGTCTTTTCTCAGTGTTTTACTTTCAGTTACGCCTGTGTGTTTGTCTCTGCGTGTTCTATGTTCTAATTGTCCGGCTGGTGTTTTCATGTCTACATCTGTCCATGTTTTATTTTGAAAAGTCTGGTGTGTCCATGTTTAACGTGTTTAGTTTTTCTTCCCCTGTGGCGTCATTATGTTTATTCCGGTCAGCTGTTTCCCCATGTGTTTCCACTTGCCCTGATCACCTCCTGTGTGTATTTAGTCTGTGTGTTTTCATTCAGTCTTTGTTAGGTCGTCTGTTTTCCTTCCCTCCACATCACATCAAGTTCCATGTACTTCATGATTCTGCTCAGGTCGTGTTCACGTTTCATGTTCTTGTTTCTTCATCATAGTTTCTTGCACATTCCTGGTCAGAATCATGTTCACGTCTGTGTTCATAGTTACCACAGTTTAGTTTTTAGTTTAGTTTTCAACCCTGCTGTTCGCCTTTTGCTTTATTTTTGTAGTCATGTCTAACTCGCCATAATAAACGCCTCGCTTTTTGTTTAAACCCAGTTTGGTTTCCTTCCGTGTCCGCGGTTGGATCCTCCTTCTCACTCCCACCAAGAGCTTCTCAAGGCAAGTGAATGGTCTATTATCCAATAGCCAAGTCAGTCACCTGATCTCAGCCCAGTGAAGCATGCTTTTTAAAGACCCTCAGACAAGCAGCAGCTGAAGGCTGTTGCAGGAAGGGGCTGGCAGAGCATCTCAAAGGAGGAAACGCAGCATTTGCACAAGCACATTAAGCTACTACTTCATCTAAAGTCTGTATATAAAGACACAGGCTGGCAGTCATCGCTTCATTGTTGATGCCTATACCTGTAGCGTAATAGTATTATTAATATCGAATACTTACAATATTCATGACAGCAAGTATGTAGCTTTCCACAGCTTTGCTCCCATGATAGTCCACCATTTTGGGGTCAGCCACCACCAGCGTTTCCACCCATTTCTCTTTGCTGACAGAGCGTTGACGAATTCTTCTCCTCCTTCTCTGCTGCCTGCGCTCCCAACGCTCCCGCTGGCTCTCAATGTCTTTAAAGCTTTGATGATAATCTGCAGAAGGGAAATATAAATAGATATTAAAATCTTTCACACTGACACACAACAACAAAGACTAACTGTGACTTTACCTTGTCACATGTAGTACACAGTGCTGTTAAACAAATCTTTGCCCTTGGTCATCCTCTTCAGCAATCTCTAGCTGATCTTTCTGAGTATTTTCTGATCGTGTCTTTATTGGATTAGACAAAAACACATATAATAGATATACACATGCATACTAGGAAAATGCTTAGCACTTGGGCAGGAACCTCCAAGCACATACAGACATACGGATGACAAACACAGCATACAAATGAACACAAGTGAAGCGAGCTCAGAGAAAAGGTCACGTGTTGTTTGTTTGCACAATAAAGGCCACTCTGTTTGTCAGCTGCAAAAAAGTCAATGTTTCATCCTCCTTATTATATTGTTAAAAACTTTAACATTTACATACTCTGGGACAGGAAGCACAGTGGGCACACCAACAGCAGACACACATATATTACTGTTGCTATGACGAAGCCGAAATATCAGCTTCAGAAATGAATGAGAATTACCGGCTACACCTCAGTTCACAGACCACTCAGACTCAGATCATTCTGTAGTGTTATTTATCAATCAGTTTAAACTGACATGGATGCAACGGTTAGCATTTTGTGCTGCGAAAGCCAAAAAAAAAAAGTCTCAGTCAGGCTGATCTAAGGGTGCAGTGAAGCCTGGAGTATGTAAAATGTAATGTAGCAGTTTACGCATTAGCCAATTCAATTCAGTTTTATTTATAAAGCACCAAATCATGACAACAGTCATCTCAAGGTACTTATAAATAAAGATAAAGACCCTACAACAATACAGAGAAAACCTCAACAATTGGATGACCGGCTATGAGCAAGCGCTCCCCCCCTCCCTGTGACTGGTAGGGGGTGAGGGCAGGGGGACAGAACAAAAGACATGTTATGGAAGAGCGCCAGAGATTAATAACAGCTAGTGATTAAATGCAAAGTGGTGTATAATCACATTTTGAGTGAGAAAAGGTGAGTGATGGTGCTGTCCCCAACGACATCTAGATGAGTTGGATAGAGATGAGTCTGCTGTCAGATGCTGTACGAAGATCATGACATCAAGGAAGACCCAACAAGTGAAAGACTCTTAGTCCTGATTTCAAGAGGACACAAATCCTTTGTTTGCATCAAAAAGAGCATCAAACATCAAAATGCTGCCAAATAGGGAACAATCTGCTGTAAGTAAGCAGCTGAAAATAGCTTGAGCAGTTGTTCTCAAACCATTTCTTCCATTTCCTGCTTCAGAAGCTAAAAAAGTCTTCAATTCAAAACATGACCCTATCATGGTTATATGTATATAAATGTACATATAACCGTCATATGGTAAGCAACGAAACTAAGCTGAAGGTTTAGTGAAATAATAAGGCATTTCCTCCTACATAAATCATCTTCATTCAACTTACTCTCAGTTCATATTTGTGGTTCACACACCCTCCCAGTTTATGAACCACAGCCACACAGAAAGAAAAATCTCTAGGATTGGCTGACATATAGCGATACAGTGATTAAGTGCACAATTTAAACACAGGCCTAGAGGGGACGCGCTTAATGATTTGAAAATTCTGATATTACAGAAACTGCTTAAATCAACATTCAGACCTTATCAGTCTGTTCAGCAAGCTGAAAAGAAATAACAATATAAATGCTAAATGTGTATTTAATCAATTAAAACCATACACAAGCTTCTTTGTCCTTGAAAATGCATCTGTGCTATCATTCTTTAGAAATCAAAACAAGTAATTTACTTTGCAATTTGGAAGATGCAATGAAGTTCATGTATTTCAGTGCAAGTAATAAGCTAATAATACATCTTTCCAAATACAAAAAACTGAGCTTGATTGGTGTTTAAAGTAGTGTTTAAAGTAATACTTAGGCACAACTATAACTCTGCCCTGATATTTTGTTGTTGGTGTTGTTGTTAAGCTGATTCTGAAAGCAAACCCTCAAATCCTCTGGGACATCTATTTTTTTTCCAGGGCCAATTAATTCAACTCAGAATTTTAAGCAGCTGGTTTACGAACGTCTGCATTTCAGTGGCTTTATTCTTCTAACCTCTGCAGATTATTACCAGGAGACAAATGAAAGACAAGAGATTACTTATAATCATCTTTCTCATCATTCAGTGCTTAGTAGCTAATGAGTTATCAGTATTTTGACTTTTAAATTAAGCATTTTCATTGAACAAGTAAAGAGATTTAAGGCCTTAAGATATGTAAATATAGTACTTATCTCCACTGCTGTTACAAAAAAACAAAAACTTGCACATCACCATGACCTTAATCACACTGGGAGCTGTTGGTATTTTGCGGCTTCTGTATTTGCAAGAAAAAAATAATGTAGTGACACAATATGAGGGCTTACATTTTAGCCACAAATGTTGTCTTTACAGTACAAACATTGATCATTTAGTTTTCAAACTGCCTCCTCTTGCTGCACGCCACACACAGCGACCTACTCGAATGGGGGAGACATGATAAGATGATGGAGGTCAGCTGCATGGGTCAGGCTCCCCTGGCACCACACTCTGAACCCACTGCTCCTCGCCTTCCCTGCAGCTGAGCCACAACCCACACCCTGTCACACTCATTTTTAAGATATTAACAGATATTAGCTTTGCCTTAACTACAGAAAAAAATCTTTCGGTAATGCATCCGTTTACGTGTTTCCATGAATGCTCAATCATTCAGGGAAGGAAGCACCGGAAAGTTAATGGTGTTCATCTGGATCCAGATGAAAACAATCAACTTTCTGGTGCATCTGTTTGTACTACAAATCGTTAGTTTGACATCCTGTTTAAAAAAAAAAGTATAATTTCTATGCTGTGCTTTCTTTGCTAATGTAAGTAAATGTGCACGATTTACCTTTGATTCCACAGGTACCGTTGAAAGGTCGTTTCCCTGAGATGGGCTGTATGACTGGGCTCCAGGAGGGAGGAGACACATGCCGTTTGTAGATGGCATGGGCCTGTGGTGCTGATGTTTCATCACTTGATGTCTCCAGAGGCTGAATAAAGAACTCTTCATCAGACAACTTGAAGAGTCCCGTCTAAAGAAACAAAGAGCTGTAAGTCAGTTCTTCAAATCTCTTTAAACTATTTTAACTGTTGCCAAAGAGCGAACTGCTGAAATATTGAGAAACAAAACATTGCTCTTGATTTGCTCTTCTGTCGTCAAAGATACAGTATGTAATGGGTAGGCAAGACATCACACAACTGCATACAACATTGATTAGTAAGTTAATCCAAGTTTTTGACAAGAAAATTGATCAGAAGCATTTTTATATATTATGCTCTGCAATAAGGCGTTTTCTCTCACGGTGCCATATTTAATGATCTTACTTTAATGAACTTACATCACCTTACACCATAAACAACTGAAGATGTCCGCTTTTGAGTATTTTGATTGGAGATTTGCAAAAAAGTGGAGACACTGTGTTTGCAAAGTATTTAAAATCTACATGTAGCCAGCAACATCTTTTAAAAAACACCAAAACGTTGCAACAACAGGATTTCTTTTTACCATGCCAGGTGTTTGGAAACTGAGATCAGCTGCTCTAGTTCTCTAGAAATTGAATTGTTCTTTTTCTTGTTCCAGCTACTCCAAACCTTCTTTGTCTATTTTTCCCCCATTTCATAACGTATCAAATGTTTGCAGTGGGAACAAAATCTGGGCTGCAGGTTGGCCAAGCAGCACTCTTTAACTATGCAGTCTGTTACTTTATGTGCTGCAAGTGTTCAATCCAAGTCCCTAATTTTTATGGTAGTAAAATGATGCATTTGCATTTTTAAAGGCAAACTGGCCCCAGAGTGTACTCCACCTCTGACCCACAGCTGAGAGGCTCCAGCCTGGCACAACCCTGAACTGAACAAGCAGTTAAGAAAATACAACCTGAATAAACGCATTAAATTGGAAATATTTAATATTATTAAATACAAATATTATTATTAATATATATAAACATTACATACAGTATTGAAGACTAGTGAATAAAAATGCACAAGCACATGAAAACACTTCGAGTAAGCTCCCACTGAAACAGCAAAAACAGCCCCAAGTCATAATTTTTCTGTCGTACGACTGAGCCGGGGAAAAGATCAAATGTCTTTTAAGCAACTGCATAGTAAATCAGGCAGGCAGGCACTAGGCCAAAACCAAATTCCCCTAGGCCCCCCGTTGACCATCGCTGTCTTATATTTCATTCTTATCCACCCTCTGCTCCAGTTAATCCCTTTTTCATCTTACACAGTGTCCAAGTGAAGCTCAGGCAGGAGGGCTGGCCGTTATATCCGAAGCCCACACACTAAAAGCTGAGCAGCAAAAATAGTTTTCATCTCATCTCCAAAAAAATACAATATCAAAGATATGCTGGCTTTAAAGGTTGGCTGTTGGTTGGTGCTGACATTTCCCAAAATCCTGCATCATTCCAATTTAGAGTCAAGTGTACTGACTGAGGTAACAGGTTGAGTAAATAACACAGAACCTTCAAATGTAACATTTGAAATGTAAAATAAGCCATTAAACACATCAGTTAATCTAACATGTTCTTGTTTTAATCTCTCTCTTGTCTTAGTAAATGCAATCACAGCTCACTGGATAACAATTTCAGTGCTCACTGGACCAATGCAGTAAATCAGGGGTGAAATGAAATCCAGTCATTAAAGTATGTTTCTATTGTAACCGAGTTTCCTTTTCAAATACCTGCATACCATTTAAGCTGTTTTAGCCTGACCACAGTGGAGGTGCGTATGGAAGCTGATCTACAACTTCGGCCCAGCTCCTTTTCTTTCTCTCTGACTCAGTTGGTGTTATTTGTCTTGTGTACTATGTTAAGTGTGGGAGGCTCTTTCTCCAGTTTGAAGGAAATGCACGGAGGCAAGAACAATAGTCATGCCGGGAAATATATTGTGGTTGGAATAATCTTTTGTGATTTCGTATTTGGGAGGAAACTTACACACATAGTTAACATATAAATATGTAATATATTTCAGTAAGAAAGGGAGGCTTGTTGATCTGAAGTTTTGAGTCATTTGGGAAGTGTTGCAGTCTGTCAACATGATAAGAGTCACAACCACAGGAAGAAACCGTCCTGAAACTACAGGTTTCTGGCTGTGATCTAAAACATGAGGACTTATGGGACTCCTTTGCAAGATGCTCTTTTGTGCAGCACTTCAGCTTTGAAAGTGAAGAATAATCTGCAGACAGTCAAAGAAGATGACGCACGTAAAATCGACTCTATCAACGTTAAAGATGTGTAAATGAATTTTCTATCAAAGTTTCTTCATCTGTAATATCAGTCAGCTTTGAAAAACGAAAAAAGGATCACATTGGAAACATGTTTTACTTTCATCAATATACTTGGTTCTTATAAAGCAAACTAATAAGTGCCTTCAATATTCAAAATACTCTTAATCTCATCACTGTCTGTGTTTTACCAAAAGCAGACAGGCTGAGCTCTGGCAAGTGAACCAAGCTGAGGTGCTGGCAGAAGTTTACTTGCTGCTTTGCACCACAATAATTAGTTACCTGCATAGACTGTGTGCTAAGGATCAGTACTTTGAACCTGCATTCTTTCTTGTGAGTGCCAGCAGTGAGCAGCTCCTCATGTTGTGAAAAAGAAGTCCAGTTGTATAAAAGTCTGAGAAAACCCCAGTAAACACTTTCCTAATTAAATTATGGCTTCGGCTGTCGGCCTAAAGTTTCACTCATTACATGGATGCAAAACAGGGCATACTTTAGGGCAGGCCAACCTTATAAATGTCAAGTCGCTATCGTGCGAGTGTGGAGTGTCGCTCCAATTTTTTCACTCAGAATCACCAGATGTGACATCTGGTTTCAAACAGGATTTCACAAACTAATGTGTGACGTCAGTTTGGCTGTGTCAGTCTTTTATATATGGTCTGTGGTTGTCTGCAAACACTTTTTTACTTTGTTTTATGTTTAGATCAACATGCTGAAGTGTTGAAAAAGACACAGTTATGTATGTGAGTTACCCAAGAAATAAAACTTTCATTTTTATTATTTAATTAGTTTCTTTATCTACAGGGAACCATCGGGAAATAAAAGTGTTTGAATATATACCATCATACTCTTTTGCTTTTCTCAAAGAAAGTTAATTTCACTGGGACATTTAAGGGCATTTCAAGTCAGCTGTACAATTTCTGGACTAAAATGCAATCAAGAAGTCTTTCAAGAACCAGCGGAAGGATGATCGTAATCCAGCTGATCGTGTGTTTTACTTGATGTAAATCAGACAGGCAAATAACCCAAATCGTGCAAGGAGCCGGCAGAGCGCTGGCAAAACACCAGCAATGTGGATACCATATGTCTGCTGATGTGTTTCTGACTTAAAAAAACAAATGTCAGTAAAGAGTCTACCACTAATTATTAAATAAAATAATTTATTTAGTTTTTTTTCTACATTAATTAAATGTTACTATACCACATACCTAAGAGTTTTTGACTGATACTAGTGCTGCAAAGCACTGCATTGTAAAATATGCAGTCCCGCCAGTAAATAAAGATGTGGAGGAAGATTAGAAGCAAGAAAACATGATTGCTTTTTAAGAGGAACCTGTCTTCTGGGAGGAAAATTTTTCTAATTTTATTGTAATTCAGCCCTGAGCTGAACAACTTCAGCTACACACACACACACACACACACACACACACACACACACACACACACACACACACACACACACACACACACACACACACACACACACACACACACAATCATCTGAACAATAAGACAGCATTTGTGGCTTTTACTATCACACAAATTCTTGTTGTGTCATGTTCAGCAAGAGAACATAATGAACTTCATCCATGTGACCATAGAAGGCATCTCTATCATCCATCCATCCATTCGCTTCCGCTTCTCCTGGGATCTCTATCAATTACACTTTAATATTTAAACCAGAGTGAGTTTACATATGCGTGGGAATTCTGCTAAATAGGTAGATACTCATTGACTACTTCATTAGGTGCACCTATTCGACTACTTGTTAATGCCTTTAGGCATGCAGACATGGTCAGGACAGCCTGTTAGGCATCGGAACCATAAAAAAAGGCCCTTTAAGTCAGCGGTCTCCAACCTTTTTTGCGCCACGGACCGGTTTATGCCCGACAATATTTTCACGGACCGGCCTTTAAGGTGTCACGGATAAATACAACAAAATAAATCTAGTACCGGTACCGAAAAAAGAAGATTTATTCATAACACACGTGAAAAGACCCAGGAAAACCGAGAGAAAATAACGCTGAAAACCGATAAAAACCTTGAAAACCATACATTTCACACCTGAGCCTCAACTTTCGCGGCCCGGTACCAAACGACTCACGGACCGGTACCGGTCCGAGGCCCGGGGGTTGGGGACCGCTGTTTTATGTGACTTTGAACATGATAACTGGTGTCAGACAGGCTCGTCTGAGAAACTGAGAAAAGTCTGTCAGCATTACAAGAGAGTAACGCTTCGCTTTTGAGATCTGACTTTTGTTTCAAAAGTTGCACTGCAGTTTACACACTCACTTAGGCACAGGGCTAAACAGCTTCTAGCTAATCTCTGAAAAAAGTGCTCTCTTTCTAAAACTACAAATCAAAATGAAGAACAGCTTGGAGCATATTATAATAAACGTGAAATAGTGATCTATGTTGTGATTATTTATTATTGTGATCGATGTGAATAATATCTCCATTTGGAAATTTCAGACAGAGAAAAGAGAGGTGGTGAGTAAGTATCTTTTGAAAGCCCTGGTCCAGATCTAATTTGGAGAAATACGACTGCAGCATTGTGATAATGCAGTGTCAAGGATCTAAGTGGTCTGAATGCAAATCATGCCCACCGTATCCACTTGTGGTCTAAATAATCTCTCTTTTATGAGCGCACATCTGTTACAGACAGACACAGTGGAGAGCATAAATCACTGGCCTAATTTTGAACAAACTCAGAGAGCAGGACTGCAGGATTGCTCCGTGATTTTAAAAAATGCACTCATGAGAGTGACACTTCTGGGACAAAAATGGAAGTTCAATATACATTTAGTACAAAATATAAAGGCGGGCTCCATTACTCGCAATACTCAAGTTTAAACCCTGCTATAAAAGGAAGTGCATCAGGCACAATTTTCCGTCTGATGGAATACGCTTCCACGAGAACGTCTGCAAATCAGGGAAATGCTGCATCCTTATTATGTGTGCAATGCAAATCTCTAAAAAATGTTACAACCAATATATACATCTATATATTTTATATATGGCTGAGTCTCTTTATATCCACTCGTTGTGTATAAATGTGGAGCTGTGGTTTCAAAGTGTCTTCTAGGCTTCTAAGCACAATTAGCTTTCAAGTCTGAAGGTCCTCCTTTTTAATGCTCTGCCAGGCTTTCACTGCAGCGGCTTTCAGCTGCATTTAGCTGGATTTGAGTGGACACCTCAGAATTCATTCGACTGCTTCTGTCCTGTGTCACATCATCAATAAACACAAGTGTCCGCGTGCCACAGGCAGCCATGCACGCCTAAGCCATCACACTGCCTCTACTATGTTTAACAGATGCCATCATTATGGTACAGGTTGATCTTGGCTTCATCTGCCCAAACAATATTTTTTCCAGAACTGTGCTGGCTTTTGTAGGTGTTATTTATTTATTTATTTATCTATCAATCAAAGTCCAATCTAGCCTTTCTATTCTTGAGGCTTATGAGTGGTTTGCACCTAGCATTGAACCCTCTGTATTTACTTTCATGTAGTCTTCTCTTTATGGTAGACTTTAATAATGCCTACTTCCTGGAGAGACTCCCTCACTTGGCTGGCTGTTGTGAAGGGGTTTCTCTTCACCATGGAAATGATTCTGCAATCATCCACCGCTGTTTTCTGCCGTGCACGTCCAGGTCTTTTTGCATTGCTGAGTTCACCAGTGCTTTCTTTCTCAGTATGTACCAAACTGTAGATTTTGGATGGCTTGTTTCACCTGCACGGAGAGCTTCTTTGACCACATGTTGTCCATTCAAAGCAAAATCTCCCAAATTTAAGCACCACACCTCAAATCAGTGCCAGGCCTTTTATCTACTTAACTGATAATAACATAGCTAAGGAATTGCCCACACCTGCCCATAAAATAACATTTGAGACAATTGTCCAATTACTTTTGGTCACCTTTAAAAGAGAGTGGCACATCTTAAGGAGCTAAAACCTTTAAACCCTGCATCCAATTTGAATACGAATGCCCTCAAATTAAAACTGAGAGTCTACACATTATGTCCATTTCCATTATATAACTATAATAGGAATGTGCTTCATAAACAGGTTAAAAACAAAACAAAACTTGTGTCACTGTCAAAATATATATGGACTGAACTTTTCTGGAAAAAAAAGAAAAAAGAAAATCACACCAGGGCATGTTGCTGTTTAAATGACCCTTAAGTGAAGATGAAATTTCACAGTTTTGAAAATAACTTCTTGTTGCACCCAGCTCTGATGACAGCTGCCTGGTCACCTCGCCTGCTTATGCTTTTCAAACAATTTTAAATAGTTCGCTTATCCACTCACCAGGCCATCACAAGTACTTATAGCTGCGCTCCCTTTCACAATGGCATCATCCCACACTTCGCCCAAGAAATGACAGTGGGAGGATCCAGCAGGTTTGATCCGTGCCCCCTTCAGGCCACCAAACCTCCTCTCAGTCATGAAGCCTGGAGCCAGCAGGTGAGGATTCAGAGTGAGGTTGAAGTGCAAGTTGTGGCCGCCGTGCCAAAACTGGTAGAAGATGCGATCTAGTCCTGCTGGTTCCACTGAGGCTTCCCTGCGCTGTAAACGGCGAGCATGGTGAGACAGGAAATTGGACAGGAAGTGACCCTTGGCATCCAGTCTCGTAGGGTGAACCACCTCGTACAAAGGGAAGTCATCCTGAAATCTTTCTGTAAAAGCGGTGATGGGAAGAAGACTCGTTATTAAATCGCAGGAAACTGGATTGAAATTAAATAATCATGTGGCTGCAAAGCTGTAAACAAAACCGGGGAAACTCTAAACACACACATATGTGCTAATCTGTCACTTTATCTTTGAATATAACTGACATATATGCAGCACTTCTTAAAAATATATTCTTTGACGCTTCACTCTCATGTTTAATAGTTTGCATTGTTGCTGGAAGACTGAGTTTCACAAACCATCATTTGCTCTGACCTGGAATAGCTTTGTCCAATGCACGGAGAACAGTGTGACAAAAAATATAAGGACTGCGCCTCAAGAAGCAGGATGAGCAGTTTTTCCATCTTATTTCTATCCATACAATTTCATTGTACCTAGCTAAATCTTGCTAAACAGTGTTTATTTCTTTTAGTTTGCAATACTCAGTAATCACTGTACGTTTAGTATCCACTGACAGTACACCCCCCACAGCTGCTATGCTTATCACCACATACAGTCACATGAAAAAGGGGTTTTTCACAGGACTCCATGCAGTCCAGTGAAAAACTAAGTACACCACATGATTCAGTAGCTTCTTTAAAACATTGCTTCAGTTTATTAAGGTTTGCAGGCATTTATTGTGTTGAGGTCTGGACTTCACCACTTTAATTTTCTTTTCTTTTTCAGCTATTCTGTTTTAGATTTGCTTCTGTGCTTTGGATAGTTATCCTGCTTCACGACGTAATTTGTGACATGCTTTAGCTGTTGCTCTCACTCTAAAATACTCAGAGGAGCTCATGGTTAACTCTATCAATGCAAGATGGCCACGACTTGTGGTTACACAACAGGCCCAAAACATCACCCCTTCACTACCGTGCTTCACAGTTGGTATGAAGTATTCATGCTGATATGCTGAGCTTAGTTTTCGCCAAGTGTGCCGCTGTGCGTTAGGTCCAAATCTCCACTTTATCTCGTTTGTCCAAACAACATCGTTCCAGAAGTCTTGTGCCATGTGATGATGCACCTTTGCAGACCTAAGATGTGCTGTCTCTCGTCTCCTTGCAACCCTTTCAAAGACCTCATACTCGTTTTGTCTGTTTCTCACTGAACTGTCATAAACGTGAACATTTAACACACTAATGGAGGCCTGTACAATCTGAGATGTGGCGCCTGCAAGGTCTGATTTTTGTGTGACTTTGTCAGGATGTCCACTCCTGGAGAGAATTTAGCAAACTGCTAAAAATTTTGCTTTTATAGAGGTATTCATGTTTGCTGATGATCAATTAATCAACTTCATTTGATTAGCATAGCTTGGCTGATACTTGCCCTCTTAAATCCTATAGAAGCAGCACTACTTAGTTATTCACAGAGTGCACAGAGTCCCCTGAAACCTTCTTTCTCACGCGACGTGTGTTAAAATGCATGAGAAGAGTTTAAAAAGTTGAATATTTAAATGATTTTAATGGTATATTTGCACTAAAGCTAAGTCGTAAATCAATTACAACTTTTTTTCCAGTGATAAGAATTTTAATGATAACAACACTGTGAAATATTGATGTTTTTATCCATGTGATGGACACTGTACACATTAAATAATAATTATTACCACTGTCAAAAATAAAATAAAATCACAGCTACTATCTGGTTCACATTCTTTCACTTATTCTGTGCACTCAAAGTACAAGGGTGCAAACCCTCACACTATCATCATTGGCTTTATCTCATTCAAGGGAAATGAAGGAGTGATTATACACAGCCTTGCTGACTCGAGCTCTTACCCTGTCTGCACTGCACAGGATTATCTGCACAAATATTTTCAAGCATACAGCACTTATAGATGATTTGGACAAATATTTGAAATGTCTGACTGAATGAGGAGTTTTCACCTTTTTATTGGCACTTTAATACCGTACCATTATTTTATCGACTTCTCACTTTACCACATGCCTGAGTATTCCAGCCATGCACTTCTTTGATTCGCACTTTTGCTTTTATTTATGAACTTCTGACCATCAACAAATGCCAAATAGTCTTGGATTGATTTGAATTAGTGTAAAGACATGGCTGCCTAAAGCAATGGGCTTGACTGGTTTTCATTTATGTGTATTACTGATGGCAAGAGATTGCTGGAGAAAAAAAAACTTTCTTAAAAAATATCTTATCTTCTACTTAAGGTCAAAAGAAAATATAAATATCTTCTTGTAGCCTTAACAATGCACAACAAAGGCATGGAAGGCATTCTTCATGAAAGCAGTGACTGCATATCCATTCCTACCTTTGTTAGGGAAGCAAAAAGATTTTTAGATTTTCTTGTGACCTTAAGAAGATATTCTTTAAGCAATTGAAACAAATATTTTCTGCAGCTCTTCACAAAGGTCTTTCTCATCTAGAATGAGCAAACTAGCAAATTACTCTCCTGAGGAATTGGACTGTGGATTCGTGGTGATCAGAAACCATCACATTCATCAGAAATAAGGTTTTTTTCATTGGAGTGATTGTGATAAATCTAGGGATCCTTAAGAGTCTTCTCAGATTTGCTAAGACAAATGAACAACACTGATCAGGTTCAGTTAATTTACTTTTTATTCTTTAGTCTTACAAGTAGGTAAGAATAAAAAATGTCTTTAAACATTTTGTCAAGCGGAAGCCCTTTGCTTATCAAAGTGCTTTTCTACTTTGGGAAACAGTTTCAGGCAGACATCGATATTCCTGTGCAAACATCTAACACCTGAAACATCACTATCTGACAGGTCCCTCCCTCAGTGAGTCATCCTTGCCTAGAATGCCAAACAGTAGCTAGCACACAGTTGATTTGTACAGGATGAGACAGAGTGCACCCACACTTCTTGATCTGTTTGTTTGCCTAATCTCTGGAGAACCCGGGAAGTCTGAGTGGATGAAAGTGCATGAGGTGAAGGCAGGGGGTGCTTCCTACCAGACATGAGGGGTTTAATCCTCTGATGTGATGATATGCACTGGAACAGCCAATACACTTTCTGTTGAAACTGGGTGTATTAAGAGAATAACAATAATGCATCCTGTCTATTCCCCTAAGTGAAACTCTGTTTCCTGCCCTTGACTACTGAAGTCAGAGGTCAGTGTCAGTCACACAGCAGCAGCACTGCACTGGGATTCTGCGTTTTGATGAAGGGCACTACAACAAGGGCGGACCGGGCTTCAGCCTCTGATGATTCATTCAGAAACAGCTCTCTCTACCGCACTTGGTTATAAAAGTTTGAGCATAATTGCTATGGCTGTCCCCAAACGTTGTAAGCAAAAGTTCCAGCTGGCTTCTCATCAGGGAGGAGTGTGGCTGGATTCACTCACAGAGCAAATGCGCACAACAAAAGCAGGCAGTGTACGAGAGCGTTGTGGCATTCCATGTGTTTGAATCTGAAAATGTTTAAAATACTTTAGTTTTCAGGCTCACTAACCTGGTTCATGTGATAATCCCAATCCCAAAGTTTTGCAGTTTTCCAGGACCACCAGGACCGCGAAGAAGAAGTGAATGGAAGACGCTCTTTGTCCGAAAGCGTGAAGCCCGCAGTGCAAACGGGTCATTTTGTCAGGACGGTAACTTATATTTTCGAAACATTTAACGCCTTTCTGACACCGCGTCGACTGTCAATTCAAATAGTTCAAATCCATCTGTGCTGGGTGCGTTTCTCGCTTTGTTGCGCCCGTGCACTTACGCTGTGACAGCAACAACAAACTTCTTCACTTCAGGCCTGAGCATTGTCTGCCTCCGCGGGGGGGCTTTTGCTGCATCTTTTTGTGTGTGTTTTGTTTTATGTCGGTGTAAATGTTTGCTTACAAGTTGCTGGTCCCCCTGTCCTCCATCAGCCTCCTCCCGACAGCCAGTGACAGCTTAAAACTTTGCTGTGAAAACTTTCGCAGAGCCACCCCCACAGATGGGTGGACTTAAGACAATGGGCTCAAGAGAGAGCTGGAGGGCTTAAAGGGGAATGCTACTCCAAGAGATCGGATACAGAGATGCAGTCCAATTGGAAGTTCCTTGGGGTGATTCGGGTTCTCAGTGGGTCAGATGAGGACCAGACTGTTGCGTTCACTTGGAGTAAGACAAATGACTACGCATCGTTTTGACCGGAGGTTCAAAGCATAAAAAAACAAGTGTTTCCCAGTGGGAACTGTGAGAAAAGCCCGAGTAAAGTCTTAAAAAACAAAACAGCGACTGACATCATCGAGTTCGGGAGATTCCTGATTTTAAAACACATCTGGAAAACCCAGATCTATATCAGTTATATCCCCAAATGTTTTACCACCTTAAGCTAAGCTGGAACAATTAAGAATTATGCCTATTTGGAGGTGGAACACGGCGTAACCAAACTCTATGTTCGACCGTTATTATCCCTCTCCAAAGTAAGCGCGCCCTCTAGTGGAAGAAAAATGTCCCACTATTGCTTGAGCTTACGAAAGTTCTACATGCTGGCCATCATTTTTGACCTATAGTATTCATTTAATATTACTTATAATGAAAGCATTTAAGAAGTACGTTGACATTCCTAAAGGCACGCTCATCTTGGTTTATTGTGTTTGCAAAGTGCGTGAACAGAAATCAACAGGTGTACCGGGTGAGAGAGGCAGGAAGAGGTCTACATCTTGATTGATGTATTCGTTTGAATTGTCTGGATTAAAAGTAACTTTCATCATTTATTTTCTTTTCCTATTTTGTGCATTTACGCACGATTCCTGTGACAAATACAATCCTTCATGGCGGATAAACTATAACAAGAAATTTAACCTGTTCTTCCTTAAAAGCTGCCGGGACCGTAATCCTTTCTGTCACGTCTCACTCGACCAATCGTGGCTCAGCAGAGGAGCGACACACCTGTATAAAAGCAGGTTTCTGGCCAGCTGTTATTCAGAAGGGTGTTATGACTACGAATTTGCATCTAATATAAGATGAAAGGCTAAGGCTTTTTTCATGGCGTGCCTCGTAGAAGAAAATGTTGTGAGTCAAGCTTTATAAATTTAATGATGGAGGAAATGTTTAACCACAGCGGAGCGCTCAACCGAAGTTCAGTGCTCGAAGACATCGACGTGAGCGCGGATGGCACCCCCATTCTGAGGATACTCATATCGGTTGTGTACTCTGTAGTTTGCGCAGTGGGTTTAGTGGGCAACCTCCTCGTCTTTTTTCTAATGAGGTTACGACAAGGTCGAAAGAGGTCCACTATTAATGTTTTCATTATCAACTTGGCAGTGACGGACTTCCAGTTTGTTCTCACTCTGCCCTTCTGGGCTGTGGACACCGCGCTGGACTTCAGCTGGCCGTTCGGAGACGCCATGTGCAAGATCGTCCTTTCGGTCACCGTGATGAACATGTACGCCAGCGTGTTTTTCCTCACCGCCATGAGCGTGACCCGCTACCTGGCCGTCGCCTCGGCTCTAAAGAAAAAAGCGCACAGAAGGTCACGGTGTGTGAAGTGGGTGTGCGCGGTGCTGTGGGTGGCGGCGACAGTTGCCACAGCTCCAACAGCTGTCTTCTCCACTGTGACTGTGGTGGCTGGCGAAAAACTCTGTCTCCTCAAGTTTCCCGAAGGACACGACTGGCTCGCCCTCTATCACATCCAGAAAATCTTGATCGCTTTCATTATCCCCATGCTCATTGTCTCCGTTAACTACCTGATGCTGCTGCGCTTCGTCAGACAGAGGAGCATGGACAGCAGCAACCCTAAACGGAGATCCAGAGTCACCAAATCTGTCGCTATAGTAGTTTTGTCTTTCTTCTGCTGCTGGATGCCAAATCATGCCATCACCTTCTGGGGCGTGTTGGTCAAATTTAACGCAGCAAACTGGGACACGTCGTATTACATGGTACACACCTACGTGTTCCCGGTCACCGTGTGCTTGGCGCACGCAAACAGCTGCTTAAACCCGGTGCTTTACTGCCTGATGAGGCCGGAGATCAGGAAGATGCTGAGAGGATTGTTTTGGAAAGCCTCCACTCCGTCATCCACGAAAGGTTGCGCCACGCGCTCCATGACACAGGCAGAAACCCAGGGAGCTACGCCTCTCCAGATTATAGACAATGCGGAGTACACGCTGTCCATCATAGACCGTAAGGGTTTATCAGCCTCTAAAGTCCTCCCGTATACTCGTTAACTGTAGCCTCGTGATAAACAAGACGACGCTTTGTGGTCCACCTGTAGATGTCTTCATTACGCGTGCGTAAAACGCTTTCGCATCGGTCCCAGTCTAAGTGTTTGGATGGGTTGCATCGCAGATTCACACCGTGTGCGCTTTTTTTTTTGCACCGCGACGCAGAAAGGCGCAGAGTGTTGTTTGTTTCACTGTGACAACTAAACTTTGAATTTCTCCCAGTTTTGCTGTCCAGCTCCCATTTCTCCTTGTCGTGATTGTTAAAGACAAACAAGAAATAACCGTGACGAGAGGGAGACACGGGACAGCAGAGAGAACGTCCTCGAGTGGAAATCCAGCTGGGGACATTAGGATGGGGGTCTGGGGGATTTTGATTGTATTTTTAATTTTCAGTGGTTTTGCTCGTGTTTGCTACCATGATTTAATTTAAAAAGTGCCATGTTCATCAGTCCTGAGGCACCTCTTAAAGGACTGACGTGTACTGTATAGTGAGCCTGCAGTCTGTGAAAATAAAATAAACCATGTTCTAAAAGTGTATGCGCAGAGGAGAGTCTATTATTTGTTTTCTCACTTAAACTGACATCAACTAAAACTGTGTTTTAACTAGAGATGGCACGATACCACTTTTTTATGTCCGATACCGATACCGATATCATAAATTTGGATATCTGCCGATACCGATATGAATCCGATATAGTGTGTTTTAATCAACAAAACTGTTTTTTAAATATCTTGCTGCATTTTGTATAAGTTCATACTCAAGTTTAAAACAACAACTACACTAAAGCTATTCTGTTATACCTGTATGCAAAAAAAAATATTTCATAGTTCAGCAATACTGATCAATCTAATAAACTTAAACCTACACCATCCTCCCTATTCTGGTATTTTAAAGAGTACTTAGCATAAATATTAAGCAACCTAACTAATAGGGTTCCAACTCCCAGCAACAACAAAAATAAATAAATAAAAAATAGGGAACCACCCCTCACGCTCCACCTCATGATGCTTAATCGACGTAATCAACCTTAATTTGATGCAGTGTGAAAAAAATACACAGAAATCAATTATTTTTCAAGAAATATTAAATAGATTCAACATCTTTCTTCAACAAAATTGCAGACTGCACAGATGGTACCTTCCCAAAGGAAAAAGTACTATAGCTTACTAGGGTATATTAGACTTAACAGTTACTATATACAATAATGGACTTCTATACATTTTACATCAGATTAAAACTTTGGGTGTAAGATTCAGATAAATATTAAATAATTAAAAGCTCGACATTTTAAATTAGAATAAGAAAGAAAAGTATGTCTTTGTGCCCCCTTTTCCCTGTTCATGCCCTATCGGCCCCCTGGCTAAACTTTGCTAGATCCGCCCCTGCACAGTTACCAGCCGTCAGCTACGTAGAAAAAGATCCTGGTGTAGAAAGTAATATTAAATAAATTCTAACAACAGCTGATCAAGCTTAAACGTGCTGCTGTTGTTCAGCCGCTGGTTTCCTCTGTCTGGTGCAAAGTGGGCCAAAAGCAAACAAGAGACACGGACTCGCGACAGAAAAGCCGATCAGCTGATCATTAAGCAGTTTCACGATTGAAGTAGCAGCTGGAGAGGCAGTCGCTCGTTAAGCTTAACGCAGGAATGCTTTACAAACATTCAGAGATGGACTTACACACGTGCTTTACTTCTCTCGGGGATAACTTTGTCGGAGATGAAATGCCGGGTTGCTAGCGAAGCTCCAAATGCTATCCAGACCACCGACAGGTCCCGCATGCCACAGCCGCTCTATCACGTGATGCATACTGCTCCGACGTGCTAACGATCTGAGGTGAGTTACAGCGTGTTGCAAGTTTTGTGAGGTGCTTTCGTGATATTTAATGGATCGGATTACATTTTTTATTTTTCTCCGATATCCGATCCAGTAATTTAGGTCAGTATCGGACCGATACCGATACGTAATATCGGATCGGTCCATCTCTAGTTTTAACACTGAATTTTTCTTTCAGTCAGCAAAAAGTGTGTAACCAGTTTGCTGTCCTGTGCTTACGTTTTTCTAAAGGTGGATTCTTTTCTTTTATCGTCCCAATAATAAATGAATTGATCCTTTGCCTTCAATTCGATTCAATCAGGAAACGGCTACAATAAAATAAAGAAGTCATGTTAAATGCATTATATAGTGTCAGCACCTCCAAGACGCTTTTCATCACATTCAGTCCTTTCTGTTGTAAATGTTGAATTCCTATCCTGGCACATGTCAAAAAACAAAAAACCCTGGGCTCTCACAGGTAGCCCAGGAGGAGAAGCTGACAATGGCTGCAGAGGTTCCAGCAGTCGCTTTGGCAGCCGTAGTGACGCAGATCTTCGTCAGACGATTCAGCTCACAAAATGCAAAATGAATTCATACAGTCCAAAATCACAAACCGGGGGGGGTGTTAGATTCTAAGTGCCATCTTCTTTACCAGGACAGCAATATTTATTGAAGCGCTGATATAACAATGAATTATTGGGAGGAAACATTTCAGCAAACTGACGCGTGCTCATTTGCATTTGGGATTTGAGCAAACTGTTCAAACTAAGCATGCATTTTGCAGTTTTCCTTTGATGATTCCTGCAATAAAGGTTTATTTTTGCTTTGTTGTGGTCACAGGCAAAAAGGAAGAAACCCCAATTAATACATTTTGCACTTGACTGAATAAAAACGAGCACCTATTTCCCCCTTTTCACAAAAAACAAGTTGCTTAA